CAGCCTGGGTGAGGGGCTGATGGCTGTTTGCAGGCTGGCCACAACCTCCAGCCACCCAAGCTCCCAGTGGAGGCTGGCTGGAAGCAGGCATCTGGGATTATTTGTCTTCTATAATTGAAACTTTGTTGCCATGAGCGGAGGCCACAGCCAGCTCAGGGCAGGTGGGAAGCTTGGCTTCCTCCATCACTGGGGCAACCAAGCCTCCTGCTTGCTCCAGCTCCATGGCTGCCAGCGGCCATCTTGGTTTGGTTAATTTGCATATTGTCGCTCTGATTGGCTGGTGGGCGTGGCTTAGGGCATAGCGAAGGTATGGTCAGTTAGCGTCTTTGTCTTTTATTAGTGTAGATTCTGTGACATGGTCTAGAATATTTCTCAAGTTAATACATAAATATGAAGGTGATTGTTAACAGCTGCCACTTATGTGCCCGGCAACAGCCTGGGTAAATTGTACATGTATTGCAATTAATCTTCAAAGCAGCATCATCAGCGGTTCATTTGCCCCACTTACCTATAAGGAAATGGATGTCAGAGAATTTCAGTGCATTTTCTGCATCCCCTAACTGCTATGTACAGATTGAAATTTGAGCCTCTGTTTATGAAACCTCAGATCCTTTAGCAATATGTCAATCTCCAATGATCCCACCTGCTCCTTCAGGATCACCCGGGGAGCTCTTGCCATCAGAATTCTGATTCAGTAGCCCTGTGATGAGTACTGGAATCCTATACTTAAAGAAACTCACCCTGGATGATCCTAATGCCCAGCCCAGTTCATGATCCTCTGTATTACTAACACAGAAGGAGGGAGCACCACGGGGGCAGCGCTAGGACATGCGGCAGCTCATGGACAAGCAGTTTCTTCCACCTTCAGCAGTCCGGGCCACGGGCAGCCACAGAGCTGCTGACTGTGCCCAAAGGATCCTGTTACCAGCAAGCTGGCCCTGATAACTTCTCTCTTTCACTCACACTATTCCTAATCCCAGTTTTTTCCTTGACATCAGGCATAATTTGCTTCCTTTGAGAAGTACAGTTTTCCTACCTATTCTGAACAAAACACGGTGTTTATATAATAGACTAGAGGCCCAATGCACAAAATTCATGCAAGGGGCTTGGCCCTCGCAGCCCCGGCTTCATCCGAAAGGTAGTCTGGAAGGACGTCCAGAAGGTCGTTCAATTGTCCAGTCTAATTAGCATATTATGCTTTTATTATTATAGATGACTTCCTTTTTAAATTACATTTATTGGGTGACATTGATTAATAAAATTATATAGGTTTCAGGTGTACAATTCTATATGTCATCTGAATATTGCATTGTGTGCCCACCACCCAAAGTCAAATCTTCTTCTAGTGACTTCTTGAATGAAATTTCTAATCAAAAACATCTCTCTTACCATTTATCTTCAGCTAAAAATCACCGTAAATAATGGGAAAATAAACAGGGCAGCAGCTCTCCCATCTTTTGCTACTTTATTTTTTTATTGTAGCCTACAGAGACCTAAAGTACCTCACTCATAAAATGCCTTAGTATTTTATTTCGCTGTTCTTGTGGGTGAAAAACCAAAAGTAATACTCTACGGGGAGTACTTGCTTTACAATGACATGCTTTAATGATTTTATTTTAACACATATTTTAATAACTATTTTATTTAGAAGTAGATGTTAATTTCCTTACCCATGGCAAGCTGCTGGAAGAACACAAAACATACTCACATTGCTTAAGGACTTGCTGATGTTCTTCACATCTAGCTGGAGTAAGTTTCCAATAATTGGAAGAGGAGTAGGGCCAGGTGGAAGTTTCCTTCTTCCAGAGCTCTGTATCCACAGTGACAGGAGAAGCAAACAGGAGAGACAGAGCACCAGGAGCACAACCGGGCCCATCGTAACGCTCTCTTCCTACTGAGTCTACTGGGAGCTTAAACTCCAAATGCTCATAACACTCTCTGCTACTCAGCATGTGCCTCTTTGACTGGGAGGGATCTAATCAGCTAGATCTAGTTACTTTCATCTTTCTTCCTCCAAGGGACTTTGGTCTGTTGCTCAGTTACAAATCCCTATCCCTGAGATTCTGGTTTAATAAGTTTGGGGTAAAGCCAAGCTACTGTTATTTATTTTGAAACACCCACATGGTTAAGAACCAGTGAAGTAAATGTTTTGATTAAAAAAAATTGCTCAACATTCTTGCCAGCCCCAACGTGGCTCAGTGGGTTGGAGTGTCATCTGGTACACCGAAAGGTTGTGGGTTCGATTCCCAGTCATGACTGAGAAGGTTGTGGTTTCCATTCCAGTTGGGGCCCATAGAGGAGGCAACCGAAAGACGTTTCTCTTGCATATCGATGTTTCTCCCTCTCTCTCTCTCAAATCAATAAAAACATATCCTCAGGTGAGGATTTTTTAAAAAATTGTTCAATATTCTGGATTCATAGATATTAACCAGTTGAGAATTCACACCTTGGGGGGCAATCCTTGTCTATAAACAAGTGTTTATCCTTTAATGCTTTATCAAACACTAGGATACTTTGTCCTTGGAAATGAGAGCCTTTTTAAAAATACTAGTATATATTTTTATTGATTTCAGAGAGGAAGGGAGAAAGAGATAGAACATCAATGATTTGAGAGAATCATTAATCGGCTGCCCCCTACATGCCCCACACTGGGGACCGAGCCCACAACCCGGGCATATATGCCCTGACCGGGAATCAAACCGTGACCTCTTGGTTCATAGGCCAATTCTCAACCACTGAGCCACACCAGCTGGGCGGAAATGAAAGCCTTTTGAAGGACCATACTAACAGCATAGCTAGCTAAACATAAACTAGGGAACGTAACTCATTAATCTTGAATCCCCAAATTGCATTGCTAGTTAGTTAAGTAAATTTATACACATTTTATTTTTTTATTTTTTTTTAAATATATTTTATTGATTTTTTACAGAGAGGAAGGGAGAGAGATAGAGAGTTAGAAACATCGATGAGAGAGAAACATCGATCAGCCGCCTCCTGCACATCTCCTACTGGGGATGTGCCCGCAACCCAGGTACATGCCCTTGACCGGAATCGAACCCAGGACCCTTCAGTCCGCTGGCCGACGCTCTATCCACTGAGCCAAACCAGTTTCGGCAATTTATACACATTTTAACAACAAACTCTACCCCCACCAAAAATAAAAAATCTGAAAAGAGACATTATTAATTTTTATTTTTCCAATGGAGAAAGGAAAACTCAGAACAGGACACCCATCTAGTGTCACAAAACTGGGATTGGAAATTATATTTTCTAATGCCCATTGTGATGCCCTATGGCTGCCTCAAGAAAAATTTTAGGAAAATAAAACCAACTCCCCCCTGAACATTAGTTTCTCTGAGTATGCACCCCACTGACTGGTCACAAAGTAATAAGACTTCATGTTAAATGGAAGGCCTTATTTGACTCCAAGCATTAAAAGGCCTTAGACTCTCAAGAGAAGAAATGAAAGACAATCTCCCCTCCTCGTCTCTCCATCAGTGCAGATCACTGCAAAGGTGAAAATGCACAGGTAACAGGGAAGAACCCACGTCAGAGAATTTAGGGGGAGGCTTCAAAAGCCCATCACCTCCCACCCACCTCCAGACACAGTGTTTTCTGTCACTTTGTTGGCCTGTCATTGTCGCAAATAATGGAATGACGTGTGCGCTGCAAGGTAGGGAGGTTTTAGATAGGACCGCAGGCATGGACTCTGGAAGACAGAAGACAGGGAATTCCTTGAACAGACTCACAGCACGAACCAGCATAACATGCAGACCTCGTCAAGGGGAACATTTAGTGATCATGAGAAGCCAGATGTCAGTGTAATGGCCTACATTATCAGATCACCAACAGTAATGCCCGTAAAGACACCATCATATTTGTCCTAACTTGATTAGTGCAGCTACTTCTAAGCTCTTTTAGTAAGGAAAATTAAGACCGGTCAAGGCCCCATTTACACAATGTTTTATCCCTCGTGTTAACAGGGAGACTGACAGTTTACAGAATTTTCACTTCCATCGCATCTCTTTTGATACACTCAATTACCTTTGCCTAAGGGAAAGTCATGCCCATTTGAATAAATAGGCGCTGGCCTCGACATTTCAGCACCTTGGCTAAGGACATGACGTCCTGCACTCTTGCTCAGCAGTCAACATTCCTGTCAAGCAAGTTCCCCAGCATTTGCTGAGTGTGTGCTGTGTATGCTCCAGCATTCGTGGCTTACCTTAATCAGTGACTATCAAGTAAACACGAACTGAGTCAATATTGCAGCAGCTCAGGCTGACTGAGCAGGGTCAGAAAAGTTTAGTTTTGTAACCTTCTGAACTTGAGTGAGTTCAGGTGTTGGCAAACCCTCTATCTGGGACTAAGAGCAGCCAGTGTTTGCTTCCTGACTCACACAGCTCTGGACTTTACACGCACCCTGCTACCAAATTTGGATGAAACGAACTCAGTGGCTCTATTTTCACACAACCACATCCGTCTTTGAGAAATTCTTTACTTTCTGACACAACCATCACCTTGTACTCCTGCCCCAGCTCTCTAATTGGCCATTTCTCCGGAGAACCCTGGTTCTTAGTGTAAAGTGTGGCTTAGAAGTGAAGACCTGTGCACTAGGAGTGCTCATCGCTATGGGGGTCACAGCTACCGGGCTACTCAGGGAACAGAGATATAATATGTGTAATGCACGTATGCATTTACTTATTTGATCAATTCCCCTGTGGTACCAACGTCCTATTTCTGCTACCACACCCTCCGCTGGGTGAGGATATTCTCCTTACACCACTTGGGCTACAATAATCACACCAGGCCACCCCTCCTTGTGGATGCCCCCCTTACCCTGCTGAGGCCCAGGTACTCCCTGCCAGACTGCCCCGGGTATGGACACTGTTTTGCCTCTGATACTCCACCCTGGGGCACCCATCTTACCCTGCTCGGCCTCTGCTCCGCAGGTCAAGGTGCCACCCTCATGTGGCCACTCTCGTCAGCACGGGTGGACTTCAACTCCCCAAACCGAGCAGCTTCTCCCAGTTGTCCTTGGAGGTGCCCGCCTCACCTCTGCTGGATGGTGATCCCAGGCCTGACTGCCTGTCCATGAGGGTGCCCTCTTCCCTCTCCTTGGCTCTAAGTCCGATTGCGAGGCAGCCGCATCCTCTGTACCAATACCCTCCTCTCCCCACTCAAGCTCTGACACCCCAATAAATAAACAACAAATAAGTAAATCTCAACCATAAAAACAAAGAAATTTAAAATGGATATACAATCTAAATAAACAACAAATAAGTAAATCTCAACCATAAAAATCTCAACCATAAACACAAAAAAATTTAAAATGGATATACAATCGATGTTTCTCTCTCATTCATATTTCTCTCTCTCCCTCTCCCTTCCTCTCTGTCTCTAAGAAAACAATAAAAAATAGATTAAAAAAATTTGCCCTGGCCAGTGTGTCTCAGTTGGTTGAGCATTGAGATCACCGGTTCAAATTCTGGTCAGGGCACATGCCCAGATTGTGGACGCGATTCCCAGTAGGGGAGGCAGGAGGCACAACTGATCAATGTCTCTCTCTCTCTTTTTCTCTCTCTCCCTTCCTCCTTCTCTCCCTCTCTTCCTCACTCCCTCCCTCTCTCTCGTTTCCTCTCTCTCTAGAAATTCAATAAAAATATATGTAAAATGGACATAAGCCATGAAAGGACAATTCACAAAGAAATAAAAGCACAAGGAGCACATGCAGAAGTGATCAGCACTACCCCAGAGGGACACTAATGAAAAGACTGAGATACCATTCGCACCCGTGAAAAAGACTACATTTTATTTTTTTTATTTTTTTGAATGTTCTTGCTTCTTAGAGATATTTCTTTTTTTTTCTTTTTTAAAATCTTTATTGTTCAGATTGTTACATTTGTTCCTCTTTTTCCCCCCATAACTCCCCTCCACCCAGTTCCC